CAACTCTCCTAGAGAAAAATTCCAATGAAGCATACTGTCAATGTAGCTTTATGATGTAATGTTTATTTTCATCATCTAACAGTAATTTCCTAGTCCAAAATGAGATTTTAAACGGTAATGCCATGGAATAGATCCCTCAACTGTTGGTTAACTGTGAAATTTTCAGTGAGTAAGAACTTCTTAGAATTTGTTTGAAAAAATGAAGAAAAATAAAATATATGCCTCAAATTTATTACTGAAAGAAAAATGGACAAGTTTATCTAGAACCGCAATCTTAAATTTTCTAACAATTCCAAATATCAATTACATACAAGAATTGAATTAATTTCTAATACCTCTTTGATGGCAAGCAAATGAACAGCGTCAGGCCCAATATCACCATCAACCTTGGTTGATGGAGTAACAACCTGTACCAATTTCCGAGGTATCACCTGAAATTAACAAGTCATAATTAAATCATTAAAAGTATACAATCCAGATGTATAATATATGGAACGAGTAGAAAGAAGCACAATGGAATGACTTTCGATAATTTAGAAAATCCAAATTAAAAACCATCTAGATGTACATCTACACAAACGCTCAGCACAAAAATCCAGGTAAAAAAGAAGAAAAAGACAAAACTTTGAAATGAATACGCAGAAATCAGAATCAATGTCCACGTGATATCTGAAGCGACAAACTTACAGAATTTGCACCTCTGGTTTTTGTTTGATCCGAAGATTCCAATTGCTCAATTCGCCCAACTTTATGTCTTCATAAAGATTGTCACAAGAATGTGTTAGCCTCACCATACATGCTCACAAATATATATATATACATACATATATATATATTGCATGCAAACATGATGCTGAAGTAAATTTTCATTAGCGTTTTTAATCAGCTCTAATGCCTCTAGTTTACTCATATGCTGTTTAGACTCCTTTGCTCTCGGTGCATCAAGTGAGAACAAAAGCTTACATCTTATAGGATACAATCTGGAGAAACATTAATAAGAATTCAGATGAACAACATAACAGAGCTATCTATCCTTACCCACGAGCAACAAGCTTTTGAACGGCATCATCAATCCCACTTTCAGGAACACCGACCTAAGTAGAATAGGTAATATCAGGGATATGTGGATAACTAAAAGATGAAGAAATAAATACACAGGAAAAAACAGATTGATGAATATTTAACCTGCCTACATTTCCCAACGCCACTTAGTGTCATTTTCCAGTCAAGCTCCTTGTGACCAATTTCAGCATCTTGTTCATATAGCTCATAGAACTTTCCCTGTGATGTGCAAAAGAAAATTCATATTCTTATATTAACTAATTGAAGTAGTTTATTGATTACATATTTAAAAGCATCCACTAGTGAAAGCAAAGTCTACCAAGAGTATAAACTGTGTAGAAGAGGAAAACCCCTCACTGAGATAGAGAAAAATTGAGCTTATCAAATAATAAGTTCAATACCTTATTAATCTATCAGTGTATGTGCCAAAATGAATAGGTCAGAAAATATGGATCTCAACCCAAAAGTCAACAATGATTCTGAATTTGAAGGAAAATGACATCCCTTGAAAAAGTAAAGGCTACAATTCATATTCCCCATATTTTTATTTTTTTCTTTTCATCTCTACTTCTATGATGGATCCAAAATTTATTTAAATTGATTCACATTTGGACATACCAATAACAAAATTCACGATAATACAACTCATTTCAATTACAGTTCTAATGAAACCTTTGTAAGCAAAATACTAGTAATTTAAATGGTTGCAAATTGTGGAGATACCCATTTCAGCACAGTAACACGAAATGAACAACTATTCATAGGATAAAAACGTATATTGAAATCAGGAGCTAATTCATACAATGATGCTGTTCGATAATATAAACTAACCACTTTGAAGAAAAGCAAAATGTCCATATATTGACATTTCACATTCCAGTATTGTTTTTGTGACGCTGACATTTTCTTCAGCACGTCAGGTGGTATGAATAATGTTTTTTTATCATAAAGAGGATGGTCAGGCCTTCTACCATTAGCATCTCTAATTTGAGAGGGATTGAGCCACTCAAATTTGCTAGTTGCATCAGAAGCTTCATTGTGAATCATGTTTGAGTTTATCGAGTCCTGAAGGAGTTTAATTCTTTTGGTACTATGCTGCAACAAATCAGCACTCCCACCCACAAGAGGAATCTCTTGAGATCTCTTTAAACGAGAGGCAGAAGGTCGCATGCCAGGTGTTTCTGGTCCACCAATGCCATCATCGCTTTCAATATCCAAGGCAGGTCCTCTATGTCCGTTTAAATTTGCAGCGTGGAGTTTACTATGATGTCTAGAAGCTCCCTTTAGTTCCGTATGTTCTATTGGATCATTAACCTTACCAGAAATGGAAGGTAACTGAGAAGAATCTTTCCAAACCTCGTTCTGAGAGGAATCTTTTTTAATCTCGTCCCTGCAGGATTCATTCACAGATATTAAAATGCAACTACATCATAGAATAAGCCACGTTTTGTTCTTCTAAAATTAAGAGAAAACGATGCAAAAGTATTACATGAACTCGTCAGTACAAAGACGCGTTTGGTTCTTCTATAAAATAGAAAACGATGCAAGAGTATTACAAGAATAGTATACTGCGCGATTCGAATGGAGAAAGCAAAATGTAGTAAGAATCCGAAGACCTGCTCGCTTAGTTAGTATCAACATTACCTCTCGTTTGCCTTGTGTTTATCATCGACTCGCACAAATTTGTGCATGATGCTCGAAAAGAGAGAGGAACCTCTGTTCTTCTCAATCACCGGCAAAATCTGACAAGGCACCTTCTCCGGCGGCGTGTCGGTTCCTCTAATCTCCAGGGAGGGATCCGCATTATTCTGGATAGCCGGCTGCTCCAAACCGGCAACGTTTGGTTTGGCCGGAAAGCGAGTGAGCCTCTGGGCGACGGAGGAGGTATCGCCATCGGAGCTCCGATTTTCGGACGGAGATTTTTGGAAGAAGGATAACAAAGATTTCTGGCGCTGCATTTTTCACGATGAATTGTGGAAAGCTTCGTTAGAACTGGAAGACTGAAGAGGACAGTATAGAAGTGAATTGCAATGGTTAAAATTGGCGCCAAATTTTTGCGCCCTTTTAAGAGCCCTAATTTTGCAAGTGCTGAATGTTTCTCAAATTAGTATTTATATTAAAATATGACCTAAATTACATTTGTAGCCTTCTATTGTAACTTTAAATTACAAGTTTCTTTTAATCTGATCCACCAGAAACAAGAACGGCGGGTAAATGGAGTTCGGTTGGGAAAGGGTCATGGATGACATTTTACAACTTTAATTTGTTTTTTTTTTAATATTGACGTTTTCTCCTCATATCTTTTTCACACGTATCGTAAATAAGTGATTTATTACAAAAAAAAAAAAAAAAAAAAAAAAAAAAA